TATGGCCTCTTACATATGTGCAGTTACATCCCTGAAGACGGAGCCAATCTCAGTGCCCTGAACACTAACTGCTGTGTGGAGGATCGTCAGTGTGTTGGCAGTGTCTATGTTGGTTTCAAGAGGAGACTATGAGACTATTGTAGGCTATAGCGGCTATAGGTTTCCTAAATCAGGACCATGGTGTTTCTTTTTTCTCTTTAGCTTAGATTGTGGACATCCTACAGACTCACCTTTGAAGGTAGGTGCCTGCGAAATGGTTGCCCGCCTTGAGACCTTGAGGTGATAGCATACTGAGCAACAGACTTGATGGCGACGTTCTTTTGGTTTCAAGTTCCAACACTGATCGCTTGAAGTGATCGGTTGTTGCCGGGGACATGTCCGCGATGCCGGGAATGGAATGACCAGATCGCGCGTTCGTCGCGCTGAAGAGTTACAAGAAAACTCGGTTTTTTCACTCGCATCCCACTGGCATGTTGGGTTCAAGCAAGACCCATTGGTTCATTTGGATGTTTATTTAAACAGTGAGACCTCAGGAAAACCATCACGAGAACAATCTATCTTTCTATGATATGGTTTGTGACCAGTCAGTCGGGAACTCCTCTAGGCCAAGCCTGAGGAGAAGAATTCGAGGAGAATGCATCCACTGCACATTGATCCCAGGGATATTTTTTGGCTTTCCTAATGTTGGATCTTGATTCATAAGCCCCCCAAGATTCTTCATTCCGCAATGTTCCAAGACATCCATAAGTTATACCTGCGACTCCAACATAGATAGAGTGAACGCCATGGACATCACATGCGCCATGGACAGCACACCTGGGGGTTTCTTAATCATGATTCAACATGGCCTCTTTTTTTGCCCGATTCTGAAGCGGTGGCAGCCAGTCGGCGCCTCGTTGGACCCGGGTCATTTGCTTTGACATTCACCTTGGCCAGGGACTGAGTCCTGGACCGTCCCTCATTTTTGAGGCCATTGGCAGAGTAGCTTAGGTGTTGTGCCACCTGTCTGGTGTGATGACAGCATTGCACCGAAGTGGCTGTGGCACTTTCCCAGGTATTTGAACAACCAATGACACGACTATCACCATCATGTCAATCGAACATGTGTTTCTAGTCTTGGGATTGCTCGGATACGATCATGGACTGCCCCCAACAGTCATTCTCGGTTGAAACGGGTCGAAACGGGACAGATTTCTCTCGGTGTGTCATCGAAAAAGGTCCGTTGAGACCTTTGAACCTGGACGTGGTGCTGCAGACCCCCATGTGGCCAGTCGAAAACCGCACGACCGCGCGGTCTTGGTACCTGGAGAGCCATCAGCCGACCCCTTCTGGATGGGGAGAAGCCAGTTTGGACCTGTTTTGACATTAAACCAATCTCTCTCAAGTCTTTCTTGGTTTTCAACACACTGGGACTGGGGGGGGCCTTTGCAGTCCCACAGTATCAACAGATCTTCCCAAGATGATACCGACCTGTTGAATCCACCGAGTCCCTGCAGCACTTGGCTCCAGCACTTGGGGAGTCCATTCCGCGCACCGAGGGTGCGCAGCACATTCCGCGCCGCACACCTGTCCTTCAAAAAATGGGAGATGACGAGGAACGCTCTTGGACTGGGGGAGATGGCAGTGGGCGACAATCGGGGTGTACAGTATGACAGCTTGTTGAGCCACAAAAGGAGTTGCAAGCGCCGTTCTTTACAGCCAAGACCCTTTCAATCTTTTTCAGCACACAGCTTAGCTGTGCCTAGCTGCTGACTTTTGGGCCAGGAGCGGCAGCCGCCGGGCGTGTATACCCTGATTGCCGACGGGGAGGAGAAGAAGACCTCCATTGGCTTTACAGGAGATCCAGGGGGGGCTGGATGGGGGGTAGGTTTCATGGATTCGTAGCGGGTGGGGCTTTCAGGTGTTTCTCTTTTGTGGTGCCTACTTTTTGCTGAGGCTGAGTTGAACAAAGGCAGAGGTCGTCCCGAGGACCTTGTGCCATGGTGAGTTTGGAAAAAGAACTTCCCTGATTTTCTGCAGCTTTGCTTTTGATATTACTTTTGTACATTCTCTTCATTGATAAGCCCCCAAATGAAGATGTTCTGCGAGCCAAATGGGGGGTTTTATTCATCAAGAGTCAGTCTACATGTCGTGAATCCGATGATTTCACGAAGTCCGACGAGGAAAGGCGACAGCCAACTATGCCAATGGCGACATTTACGAGGGCGAGTTCGCCAATGGCATCCGGCATGGCTCGGGCGTCTACACGTGCGCTGTTGTATAGTGTTGCTCTTGTCAAGTGTGTAGGTCAAGGCTGGTGTTCTGTAAACACGTCCTTTGGATAGCTCTGATCAAGTTGCAGCTGCATTAGACACCTGGTTGAGAGTGTCACTCACCTCCGTCCAGTCTCCCGGTGTTTGCCGGCTTCGCCCTCATGAGGTACCTTAAAGGCGACGTGTTTACCGGGACCTTTGACAACAACCTGAAGACTGGCCTTGGCCGAGTCACGTGCGCTGGAGCTTTTGGGGTGTGAAGACCGGTGCATTTCTCGGGGTGACCCCATCAAGGCCCAGACCTGGCTTGTTTGGCTTTGGTCTTTCAACACACAAAGAATATGGCAAAAAGAGGCATTGGAGGGCAGAGACGATGAAACAAGCACACTCAACCATACTCAACATGGCCTTTCCATGCAGAGCTAAAGCTGAAGTCCACTCCATCTGAAGCTCTGACTGTTGAAAGGCGGCCATCTCATGACTGAGTGGCGGTCCAAACATCACTCAAGTCCCTGTTGGATGGCCTGGTCTCAGATTGTTTATGATTACAGGCACTGCTCTGAGCTTTGCCCTCTAACAATGAGCAAGGACTGATGTCTTTGGTTTCCGGACAAACTTTCACTTTGACTTTGCGTACAGATCCTGTAAAGGTGAACCACCTAGCATTGAATTCGTAATCCAAACGCAAAGGGCCCATAAGAAGTCAGCACCAATAGATAGAAATGGCAAAAAAAGCGATCAGGCACCTTCGGGCTTTTCTGCAAACTCGTCCAGGCAGGAATCAAACCGAAAAAAAGGGAGGCCGGTCCGACCTCGCTGACCTACGGCAAGACGACCGCCATCAGGGGTTCAAACGGTTGCAGCGCCCAAAACGGTATTCCGGAGGCGAACACAACCAGCACGGCGGTTCCTGCGCCCTGTAATTTCTTCCATCACGGCTCTGCGTCTTCTCCTTGTTGAAACTTCATGTAGGAAGCACACAGTTTTGCTGGGGTTTTGGAAAGCCCACCTTGTCCTTTCTCTGCACACTGCCTCTCTGAACTCTGAACCGTCATTTCCCTGCAAACACCGGTCTTGATCTTGAAAGCTCTTGATCAAGAAGATCTGTGGAGTTCGAGTCAATGCGAAAATAAGTGAAGACATCGTCGAAAGCCAGCGCAAACTTCCAGTCAGCAAGACTGCGAGAATTCAGAATCAGCAAGCACGGAGCAATCCCTATGGCAAAGGGTGTGGCGAAACACGCCACTGGGGCCGCGAGGTGTTCTAATCTTATTGACGACTGAATTTCGAGCCCTGGTTTCCGGACAAACAACCCAAACGAAACTGCTCCACTTTGTCATCGATTCGGGTTGTCACGGAAGGTACAAGAAGGGTGGCTACTTCCATGGGCACTTTCAGGATGGGGTGCGCAGCGGTGAGGCCCGACCGCGATGGGAGCGCGACGACGGTGGGCACCGAGACCACCCGGTGGAGCATGCGGGTTCGGACGTTCCCTCAAACCAGAACCTTCAAAGGGAGAAGAAAAAGTGATGAAACATACATATATAATCCTTTCAAAAGCGCCGGTGCCATGACAAGGCCATGACAAGAGTCAGAAGACCTGACGGTAATCATTGAAATGTGGGAGAATCTAAGGGTGAAGTATCATGGATCTTTGTTGAACGGGTCACTAGCATGGGGCCCGCACTTCTAGCTAGCAGATTCCTTGGATCTACGAAAATCCCCTCAAACCAATCTCTTGGCTCCAACCTCATGACTTGCGCGAAATGATTGGAGGGTCAACGGACAGAGTGCCGGTTCAGGGTCGTTTGGCTCAACTGAGAGCCAGCTAAGGTTGTTGCCCCTACCAATTGGAGCAGCAACAGCCACCCTTTTCACATACTCGAGATTGAAAGTACGTACTTGCCACCAAATGGCCTGAAGAGGCCTAAGAAAAAACAGCCTGAGTAAAACTTTGCTGAGTAAAACATGCAACATGCAATGGCGTCCAGCCAAGGAATCGGAATTTTTTCCCTCTGGGGCTCAAGTAAAGCGGTCGACAAGTGCATGTCTGTAGAAGTGAAGAGCCGAAGCAAAGGCCAATACCTGATTTTTTGCGGCTTAAAGGAGGCTGATGTCCTGGGTCCGCATGTAAGAGGTGTAGATCGCAGCTTACATAGGCCAATACCTTGTTCTAGTGATCAACGGGACAAAGCGGGAAATGCTTCACGACCGAGCGTCCCAACCGTCTCTGAGCGTTCCCAGCTGTCCTCGGCAGAACTCGGGACTCTTTGCTGCCTCTTGCTGAACACTTCATAAACGACAACGGCATACAACACCTCCACGGCCGGAGAAGACCTATTTTCCAAGGTGTACAAACACATGTGACTCTGGCAGGGCACCTTCCAGTACGCCAATGGTGATATCTACTCAGGCGCGAGGACGGAAGTTGTTCATTGATGGACAGAAGTCCAGGACTAAGGACGCCCGTAAAGAAACATGACGAGGTGCATAGTCCAAAATCTAGAAATTTGGAATTTCCGACATCAGTTTAGACTACCCCACACTGCGCAAGGCTTCCCGACTGCAGTATGACTTGTCACGGTCCTGGTCCTGCTGGGGCAGTTTGGGATTCAACACTCATGTATTAGCTGATGTCAGTGACCTGTTTTGAGCAATGTTTGTGCTGCAGTTGCTGCCCAAGCCCAAGCCGCAAATGAACAGCTTTTATTGCCATAACATTTCCAGGCGTTGGTTGTCCGAAGAACATCTCTCTCTCTCTCTCTCTTGCAGATTTCTCTTTCGCGGTTCTGAGCCATGGTTGGACCCCACCGGTTTGTGGTTTGCATTTTTGCACTATTCAAAGGCATAGCTGCTGATTGGGCAACACAGACAGGTAGTGCAGGTGCAGACATTGCTGTGGGAATTGCTGTGGACACTCGGATGGTAATAGTTGTTGTTTTGCCAGCTCAAACGGATAGAGCAGTTTGCAACACGAGCATGTATCTATATATAAGGGGATTCAGATTTCTATCTACGCCTTTGGGGTTCGTAGAGGCTGCTGTAGCCCAACTCGGATCTCCTGCCAGGACTCCGCAGGACATGTCCACCTTGCTGGAGTCACCGAAGGACGATTGGGTGGGTCGCACCAGGGGCAACAAGACGTGTTTTGGCAAGTGCTTGGAAGCGACGGAGGCGTGATGTCCACGGTTCAGTTTGGGACGTCTTCCTTTGACCAGGGCCGTGACATTGCCGTAGACGCCTCTGGCAACGCATACATCGTTGGCAATACTGGAGGTTCCCTTGCAGGAGGATCTCTTGGCGGATCCGATCTATTCTTGCACAAGTACAATAGTGCAAAGAGCTTAGTGATCGGAAAGCAGTTTGGCACCATTAATGATGACTATGTATCATCAATGGCTCTTGACTCTTCAAACCTATATCTCACAGGTACTACGAGTGGTGTACTGGAGGGTAGTGCTGTCGGTGATTTTGACGCCTTTGTCATCAAAGTCCGTGTGTCAGACTTGGGCATTGTGTGGTCCAAGCAGTTCGGCTCTGTTCTGCATGATGAACCTTGGGCCATTGCGGTGGTCGGAACTGGAGCAGTCGCATGCGGGTCAACCAAGGGTGCCTTCCCATCCAAGACTCACGCAGGAAACGAGGATGTGTTCTGCACAAGGTTGAATGCCTTGGGCTCCATCGAATGGTCTTTCCAAACTGGCACCTCGCAGAATGAGCGTGCTCGCGGTGTAGCTGTGGACGGGCAGAGTAACATCTATGTCACAGGAAGCACAAAAGGGCATCTTGAAGGCCAAACTCACCCAGATCCAGGTCGAGACCTGGCATTTTTGATGAAGTTGGGCAGTGCTGGAGTGATTCAATGGACGCGCTTGCTCGAATCTTCTGCCTTGACCTCCATCGGACACTCTGTGGTTGTGGCTACCAATATTTGGATGGCTGGGACAACAGATGGCGTAATAAGTCCTGAATCATTCAGGGGTGCAACTGATGTGTTTATAGTTGGATATGATCCATCTGGAAACCTGATCTGGAAGAAGCAGATTGGCCCGAGTGGTTCAAGTCATGCACACAGCTATTGGTCAGGATCAAGAGTTTTGCTGGTCAACGCAGCAGAGACAGAAATTCATTTAGCAGCTTCCACATACGGTACATGGAGCTCGTCAAATGCCGGTTTATCAGATTTGGTGGTTCTTCAGTTGTCCATGGAGGCAGGCTGAGATGTTGTGAAACACCTTTTCACTGCACGAGTCGAGTGTCTGAAATCAACAGTCCAAGTTTGCCCTGAAGGGACCGAATCTCACAAGCCATAAAGCCCCTAGAAAGATGTCCTGCAAGACTAAAGCCTAAACTGCCTCCGAACTTTTGTGTGCTTGAACTTTCGGCAAAATTCTCCTCGGATGGTAGACAGCAAATCGCTCACTCGATAAACTGGCTAGCTTAGCAACTGGGCTGACACTTGCAGCACTGCTGCAAATGGGGAAGAAGCTTGGCTTGCTATACACAATCTTTCAATTGGAATTTTGGTGCTCGCTGTTGTGTTGTGCCCAAAGAAATTTAGGGGGCTTACGCCCGCGGCCGCGAGAGGGGTCGGCAAGCCGCGGAGACCGACAGATTCACATTGACATACATCTCTTGTCCAGGGTCCGATCGGAAGGGGAGTCGAAACAGACGGGGGCCGGGATGCGCAGGGGGAGTCGATGCGTCAGACTGGGTCCGGGATGCGCAGGGGGGAGTCGAACCCAGGACCCCAGCCTGGACACCGCTTTTCCCAAAAATAATCCCGGCAAGAGACCCCAAGCAATGTGTGTGAGGTCTAGAGGTGTAGCAGCGGAAAGTCTAGAGATCTACACGCGTTATCACGCGTTGGGGTCCAGAGAGGTGATGGTGAGTGTGAGTGAGATTGACAGTGAGAGAGTGAGAGTGAGAGAGTGAGAGTCAGAGAGTGAGAGTGAGAGTGTGAGTGAGAGTGAGTGAGAGTGAAGGAGTGAGAGAGTGAGAGTGAGAGAGTGAGAGTGAGAGTGTGAGTGAGAGTGAGAGAGTGAGAGTGAGTGAGTGAAAGTGAGAGTGAGAGTGAAAGAGTGAGAGTGTGTGAGTGAGAGTGAGAGTGAGACAGTGGGTCAGAGCGCGCCGAAGACCACCACGATGTCCAAAGTACTGCACCTGCCACAAAATCCGCATTTGGATTAAAGACTGCTCCGATCCCTTGCACCTGTCACGAAAAGTCGACTTGGACCACCAAAACACCAGGTTTCCCTCGCGCCTGCCAAGCCTGCGCAGTCGAAATGCACTTGGAGGATTTCGAGAGGCATGAATGTACTGTAAGTAGCAGCGAATTGGCCGCACACGTCGGTGCAACACGTCGATTGGACACCGGTGCTTAACTATTCTGAACAAATGTCAACGAAACGGCCAAGTTTTCGCCAAAGTGACGGCTGAGTGACATCGCCCACCGCTACACCCGGAGTCCCTCAACAGGAACACGCCGGCCCCGCTCCGCTCACGCTCGCGTTCATGGGCCTAGACCGGGGTCGGCGGATTCGTGATATGGCTTTGAGGCAAGAATACGCTACCCCAGACCAGCCTGAGCTGAACATCCCACTTGCTATAGATGGTTCATATTGTTTCCTAGGTCTTCACAGCTTGACAGGGTTTTGACCCACATTTGTGCTTATTATAGAGCACTTGAGAGTGGCTTGCTGAAAACCATTCGAAGGCCACCACCACACCTGTGATTACCACCGCGACCACGACAACCCCTGTGACCACCACTACGACCACGACCGCGACAACGTTCGTCACTACCGACGGCCTCACCACATCAACGCAACATGAATGGGGGTTTGGGGAAGGAGCAGCAGGAATGCACCTTGAGAGGACGACATTGACAACTGGATTTCAAGATGTGTGACATCATAATGTGGACATATGTGGACTGTTGAGTAGTACCCCCGTATATCAAGGGGTTTGTTCATCAAAGGTCTTCATTAATCATTCAACATTTCACATCCTTTGCAATCGAAACTTCCAAAACGCGTTTTGGAACGACCAACGTCGAACTGACATCCACAGGCGACACCTTCTGCGCTGATGATATCTTGATGATAGTTCAACCCCCAAGGCCTGAAGAGGTTTTGCAATTCATGTTCTGGGGGGTTGAGGTAAAAATCAAGAGTACATGGCCCTATCTAAGATCTCTTTGATCTTTGTGGGGTCATTTACCTCGTCGAACTTCCTGGAGGTCCACCTGAGGTTCAACTGATCAGTGGTTCAGTCACTACAAAAGATCGACCTCAGGTTCGCCTTAGAACCAGTGGTTTATGTTTCAGCAGAAACTGACACCATCACTGAAGAGAGCGATGAAGTGATATGAAGTGTTAAATCGGCCACCATCCTGGTGATTCATTCATGTTTCGTTTCTCCTCCCATCACGAGCACCAGAAGTTCTTCGCTTCCTTCGTCAGCTCCTCGGAAGACGACCGGCTGACAAGGCACGACTACGAGCCGTCCACCACCACCACCACGACGGAGACCACCACCTCCACACGCTGTGCATCAGAGTATTTCGGAGACAGCTGCCAAGAGCGACGCGTCCAGTTTCATTCGAATAGCGGCTTTTGTCTTGAAGAACATTCCAACGCAGCAATTTGCAAAGGTATCGTCATTGCTGCAGCCCAGGAAGACGAATGGTGCACAGCAGAGCAAGACTGCGAGGCTTGGAGCGAAATCAAGTACATGGTCGCCCTTATGTTCGAAGCGGAAGTTAGTGACATGATCGTGGACTTCATGGCGGTTTGCTTTTGCTTGGCAGCAGTGGTCATGAAGTTCTGCGGCCGCGGAGATCTCGGAAAGTCTCTGCTCTTGGTGACCTTGATTAGCTTTGTTGCCGATATTGCCCTCGAGGCTTTGTTGGTGCACTCGATCTTAGGAGCTTCGGAAGCAATTTCGACGGTCAAGGCAGGGTGTTGAGATGAAAATGCAACTACTGTATATTAACTATATAATGTCGTGAACTAAAGGTCAATAGCCTATCTAACCTAGGTAACCAAACACTGTCTCGCATATGGTTCGATGTTTTCTAACCCCTTTAGGAGGCCTTTTGCCTTTCACAAGGTGATGGCTATGCCATGCTGGTGCTTCTTGATGATTTGGCCAACACAATTCAAGCACTTGCTTGGCTCAACATTGTCATTGCAGTGGTAGGAGGTGCAAGTGAAGTTGTCCAGACTTGCCAGGAAGCTTGTAAGAAATCAGTTGAATCGATGGCCTTCTTGGTCACGACTCTGGCGGCAGTGGCTGAGCTTGCTATTAGTGTGTCAACTTTTGCGCTCAACACCCTTGAATTTATCGAGGTCATCAACGCGATTGAGGAGGCCACATTAGGATTGACACCCCTGGAAAATTCCCATGTCTGCTTCAAGAGGCACCCTAATTTACCGCTGGTGGAAGCTGCTGGAGTCGCGTGGGTCAACCCACTGATGATCATGGTGATCCCTGGTTCGGTGGTTTTGGCTTGCTTTCTTTGCGCCGTGGTGTGGAGCTGCCGATCCAAAGTGGACGATGATCCGGACGATCGATTTTGAGTCCTAGTAGCGAATGGTAAGTCCTATGCGGCAATCCGGACGACAATCTTCTATAAGCAATTGTAGATATAAGAAGCTTTGAACAGCGAACAAACAAAACCAACTCTTGGACCACTGAGCCTTCTTGGATCCGCCGCATTTTTAGACTGTTTGAACATGCAAAGCACGTTCGAACGAAACTCGTTCTTTTGAGATCTCCTTTCTGGCGCGAAGGCACCTGCTACCCCAGGCTCAAGTCTTGCCTGTTCCTCTCCAAAAGGAGAGCTTCCTTGGACTTGGCCGACAGAACAAAGGATGCCTCTAATCTGATCTGGTTTTAGTGGTCGATGATGCGAAACCTATTGATGCAGCTCTCCACTCATCGTGTTACACATCTGGCAGACCTGCCTCTGTCAGATCATCTTCAAAGCTGATGGACCCACTCACCACTCAACCGTCCTTGGGTCTTTTGGAGCTTTCCTTGGTTTCGTCCGGGGGTTTTCGTTCGCGCTCTGCGGCATTTTGTCCGCCTGACATCGGCGGAAACCTCCGCGACCGATCCAGGCGAGTGGAAGAATGGGAAGAAGCATGGTCCGGGGACGTGCCCCAAACCTCGCTGGAGGGTGCGAATGGTTCTTCTCCCAAAGGCGTGTGGTTGGTCAAAAGGCGTGTGGTTCTTCTCTGGATGTCAAAGGCTCCTGTGTTTGGGGAGGAGCCCTGTTTTTCAGTCACTCTGAGGTGTGGGTGGTTCATTCTTTTTGTGCGGGAGTGGTTGGTTTCAGAATCGTCAATGACTTCTTTCCACAGCGCTTCTTATCTCCCCGTATTTTCGGAAAGAACCACATGCGAACCGTTGAGAGGCTCAGAGTTTGTGCAACAAACCTAGAACTGCAGTCTTGGAAGTCGTTTATCCCCACCTTGGACCTTGAATAAGTGCCAAATCGAACTGCACTTGAATGCGAGCATTCGTCATAGGTACGTCTTCAACAAGACCAAGTACGAGTACAAGGGAGAGTGGAAGGCCAAGATGTGGGAGTGTTGGGTCTTGTTCGGATGGCAAATGGGCTTAGTTTTTTTTTTTTTTTTAACTACACAGTCTAAACAAGGATTAGTTGGCCTGTAGATAAGCCAGATGCATCTCTACATGATTTCATCCCTCTGTACTGTGCTATATTCAGACTTCTCCCAGAGGTCAGGGTTGCTTCCGAGAAAAGACCCACTGGATAGAAGCTACGCTGCTTCGTCATCACCCCCAACGTGACACAGCCCACCGTGTTTGCTGCTTCGACGGACAACGCCTTTTCTGTCGACCAGGATGGTCAAATGATGACCGGCACCTGGACCTTCACTGCCGGGAACCTCAGCGACCTGGGAAATCAATCGTTCTGGGCGACCTGCGCCTTTTCCTGCGCGTTTTCTTCCTGCCCATCCTTGCGACCTGCGCCTCCTGTGCGTCCGCCAAGGACGATGGTAGAAGCAACCCAAGAAGCCGATCGCTCGGCGAAGGTCTACTGGGGCAAATACACCTTCGCACGCACGTTATCCATGTAACATCCATCAGTGAGCCCATTGGATGGTAAAGATCTCACCTCTAGATCGCCTTCGCCGTTTTGTTTGAAGATTTCTTCGATGAACAGTGTCTTGCCTTAATTGGTCCAAACCCTGAACTGTAGAGCCCACACACCAATTGAAGCCCCCAGAAGTGGCCTTCTAAGTCAATCCCCTTCAATACATTCCTGGTTCTTGAAAGTGACCTTTTGATACCCCAGTTTGAGGTCACTTAAGCCTCCTAAGTGTCACTTAGGAACCTTCAAAAGGTCACTTTGAAGAAGCTGGTTGTTTGTAATTGCAATTCATCTCAGAGACTCTTCCGTGGCAGACGCCTCCGCCATCCGTCCCGTCCCGCACCAGGATGGGACGCAATACCGCGGAGGGTTTCAAGGCCGGCGATGTGATGATGATGTGAGGGATCAACCGGGATCCACCGGGATCACCAGCGACCAGGTCTGAGGGAGCATGCGAGTCGTCTCGGGTGTTGCCTGGATCGCAGGTTTCTCGGAACATCACCCAGGTGGATGGCTGTGAAGCTGGCGGTTTGAGCTCCGAGCTCCTCAAATGGGTGGTGTTGTTGGTACAGGTGGTGTACAGGGGGGTCAGTTTGGACCCGTTGAACAGTCGCGGGACAAATTGACTGAAGTCTTTACTCCCAGACTTACTTGTGAGACTTGCTTAGACGCTCTTGGTACCTCTTCATCATATACATAATATTACATATGCTCTCTTTGTTTGGTTGGCTCCTTTATGGATCCAATGATCCACATGTCAAAGGGTCGTCTGGCTTTGGTTTTGACAGCTGATTCATTGCGGACGCCTTGAGCCGTAAAACACACGGTCGACCTGTTCCCAAGGACTTGTGAGTTTGCGGTTCTTGTTAGGTCGATTTATATAGCTCACGATCCACTTCACAGCCGCGGGTCGTCCAAAGCCACAGATGTTCATGGCCAGTTGGGGCCCCTTCGTCACATCCCTCTTTCGACGGCCCACGAACTCCGTCAGGGCAGAAGCCTTGTGGCGATGCCACCTGGACCACTCGTCAAGGCCAGGGTGTCCAGATTGCAGCAAATTCCGGGTGTCCGGATGGGTGGTGAAGCTGCAGAGACCTGGCAAAGGAAGGCATTCTAATCATTCTCGTGTAAACAATCCAAGAATCGTCTTGGAGTTGCCCCCCAGCCTCTGCAACTTCATGTTCGTGGCTGGCTAATTATGCAGAGAGCTCTGTCCAAGCTAACATCAATCAACTTTTATCAGCCTGAACATGTGGACGCGCATTGCCCAAAAACAGGGAGCAGGGAGACTTCACAAAGAACTCGTGCAAACTTGTTTTGGGTTTGTAACCTCCTGCAGATTAACAAGGACCGTGAGAACCACTGGGTGGATCCTCTGAGAATCGTCTTACAGGGTCAATGTTCACGGTCGGGATCGTGTGCAGGAGGGTACATCCTTCGCCTCGCCGGGCGGATGGTTTTTGGGAGAAAAACGGGATCCTCCAAACTCGGTCACCAGACGTGGCCAGCACGCCACCTTTCAGAGGACAGGGCATGCCAGGGCAGAACCGGATGAAATGCGATGCGTCGTGGTGCCATCACCAGACGAGCATGTTTGGTGGTGAATGACCGGGGACCACTGAGATTTTGGGAGGCACCATCGTGGAGGGATCCTATGTGCAGCAGGCAGGGCCTGGGTAAGTAAGGGGGCCAGGCGGCAGGGCCTGGCAGGGCCACTTTTGGGCAAGATGCCAGGTGAAGCAACTGAGACTGGGAAGAACAGGAGAAGACACTTCTTAGCTCTGCTCTTTGATTCGGCGGCATTATTGGACGACTCGGGGAGTCCCACTCAACCGATCGGGCCAATGGATTGGTTTTCGATCCATCTCCACGTAAAGCTGATGTTGCAGAGTCCTTCCCCCATATCAACAACTCAAATCCAATCCCAAGACGTTCTTCAAAGCCCTGAGATTTTCGCCACTTAGGAAGATTCATCCAAGATTCTTCCAAGAGTAGTGATGTCTTTTAGAGTTTTGCACTCCACTTTTCTTCCATCACATGGTTTGCTTCGCGTTCACCGTTCCCTGTGCCGTCCCGTGCCGTCCCGTGCCGTCCAAAGGTGGTTCCAGAGGACTCTGCTCCGCCGGCTCCGTGGGGGAGCCGAAGGGGGATGGCTTGAGGGACCCGCCATTTCTACGTTCGCTTCTTGTTACTACTAGTAAGGCACTGGTTACTAGAAGCGATGCACTTGTTACTAGTAGCTTCTTGTTTCTATTAGCTTCTTGTTACTACTAGTAACAAGTGCCACGCTAGTAGTAACAGGTGCCTTACTAGTAGTAACAAGAAGCTATTAGAATTCAATTCTATTAAAATAAATTAATAGCTTCTTGTTACTACTAGTAAGGCACTTGTTACTAGAAGCGATGCACTTGTTACTAGTAGCTTCTTGTTTCTACTAGCTTCTTGTTACTACTAGTAAGGCGCTTGTTACTAGAAGCGATGCACTTGTGACTAGTAGCTTCTTGTTTCTACTAGCTTCTTGTTACTGACTAGTAAGGCGCTTGTTACTAGAAGCGATGCACTTGTTACTAGTAGCTTCTTGTTTCTACTAGCTTCTTGTTACTACTAGTAAGGCGCTTGTTACTAGAAGCGATGCACTTGTTACTAGTAGCTTCTTGTTTCTACTAGCTTCTTGTTACTGACTACTAAGGCGCTTGTTACTAGAAGCGATGCACTTGTTACTAGTAGCTTCTTGTTTCTACTAGCTTCTTGTTACTACTAGTAAGGCGCTTGTTACTAGAAGCGATGCACTTGTTACTAGTAGCTTCTTGTTACTACTAGTAAGGCCCTTTGCTCCGAACGTAGCGATGCCCTTTGCTCCGAACGTAGCGTCGGATCGTTTGGGTGTTTGGTCTTCGGACGTCCAGTGTGGTTTTCTCAAGACATACACATGGCAGGCAGAGGTGAGGGTGCTGTGATGTTCTTATGGCGCCTGGTCAGGGTGTCTAGAGTCGTCGATGTCTTGTGCCATCTTGTCCCACTTGCAATGAAGGGTTTTAGGGTTGCATACAGGCATGCTAGTGGATGAGCATCCAAGAACGCACCTTAACTGTGGGATGCTTTTCAAAGGGGGGCCATCAACCGAGGCGGATTCGCCTCAGCATGGTGTGCTTCATTCAAGCTACTAGATCTAAAGGGGAACACATCGACCACCGACCAATAGGTCTCTCATTGGTCTTTGGCCCCAAACGTTCACCACTTGGCAGAAAAGGCTGGCTGTTCGAGACGCGTTCGGAGATCTTTAGCCTGAATTTTCGTGGAGTCTGATGGATGATCTAAAGGAGCGAAGGAATCATAGATAGGGAACTGATCATGGCGCTTCAGGCCGGGAGAAGACCCCGTGGTGGTGACACGATGCTTCTGGCACACCGCAGCGTTGGTGGGCAGCTGAGGAGAGTTGTCGATTTTTCCTTTTTTGGGGGCGAAAACGTGGAGGGCGCGGTGCGAAAAGGTGGTGACTG